ATGGTCGTCGACTGTCCGGTACTGAGCAGAGACAGGAGATTACCCCTCGCTGGTGGCTTTGTTCAAACTTGTTACTTATACAGTAAAACCTCGTTAAGAAACCACTAAACATTCCAGAAGTGGTGTTAAAAAAACCCTGTGCTAACCGGTGATGAACAGATGTATGGTGACTAAAATATTCTTGCTGGGACAAAACATGTTCACGTTAACCGAGCTTTCCTCTTGAACGAGTTCGTGTTAGCGAGGTTTGCTGATTCATTTTTGATGTCCAAGTGGTTCACATTTAAATGCATGTCGTCCTCGATCTCTCCTACCTGTGATTTATCTACTCCTAAACCCTGGTAAACACACTGGTGTCAGCACAACAGACTGAATGTAAACGCCTGAGAAATGGAAGATTAAACTCTAACATAAGGTAAACTCTTATCATTGTTATGACTTCTCAGCCTCCTACACTCTCCATATTGCGTACCTACATGAACTCAGTCACAGCTAGAGTGTGTACCTACATGAACTCAGTCACAGCTAGAGTGTGTACCTACATGAACTCAGTCACAACTAGAGTGTATACCTACATGAACTCAGTCACAGCTAGAGTGTGTACCTACATGAACTCAGTCACAACTAGAGTGTGTACCTACATGAACTCAGTCACAACTAGAGTGTATACCTACATGAACTCAGTCACAGCTAGAGTGTGTACCTACATGAACTCAGCCGCAGCTATAGTGTGTACCTACACAAACGCAGCCAGAGTGTGTACCTACTTGAACTCAGTCAGTGCTAGAGTGTGTACCTACATGAACTCAGTCACAGCTAGATGGTGTATCTACATGAACTTAGTCACAGCTAGATGGTGTATCTACATGAACTTAGTCACAGCTAGAATGTGTACCTACTTGAACTCAGTCAGTGCTAGAGTGTGTACCTACATGAACTCAGTCACAACTAGAGTGTTCACCTACATGAACTCAGCCGCAGCTATAGTGTGTACCTACATGAACTCAGCCGCAGCTATAGTGTGTACCTACACAAACGCAGCCAGAGTGTGTACCTACCCCAGCTCCGACTTGGTTGCATATGCCAACAAAGTGTAGTATTAGAAAAGATCCATTTGCATATTACCCAGCATATTATAAGGATAAGGGTTTGTTACAATACGATGGTTGGATCGGAAGGCGAACAAATCGCAGCCGAGCTGTGAACCACAACGTCCCAATGACCCAAAACAGATAAGGAGCGACTGGCCATGCTGACCCAAGACGCAACAAACTGTTATACGAGGTTAGATAACTAGTCGAGGACAATTGCTCGCTTATCGCCCACTTCTATGGGTAAATCTTTCTCTTATTTTTCTCCGTAAACCTCTCTCCCGAAATACATTCTGGAATGTTCTCTGCCAAGGAGATTACTGGCTCGTGCGCGCAAGAGTTAGAGGTATTTCAAGTGATATCAATAAACAGGAAACCTGGCTACTGGGGCGCCAGTCAAATCTTTCTGTCAGCCTCCCCCCAACTCAACTGTTGAGTGCCTGGGGTGAGGCCTGAATGTACCGCTGTTTCTCATCATATCTGCCTGGCCTAGGGTTTCTCAAGTGCACGGAGAATTGGCACGCGCTGACTGATATGACGTAACTGTGTGTTTGATTCTTGCAGCCGCCCTTCTCACACAGGTTTCCATGACAACAGGGATACAAGCGTGTGGTTCAAATGTGTGAGAGGATGTGTCATTCTAAAACAAGTCCTTAAATAAATATCAAATAACGGTATCTGGTGTTGTTTTATCACATTTGAGCCCATGAACAATGAACATTCCCATGCGTGCTCAGTCCTCACATGCAGCAGCTAACCAAAGCATCTCTACTGTTTGTTCCCATTCGGAGCTGGAATAAATCAGGCAAACGGTAATGTGGTTTCTCTTAATGGCACCCCACTCCAAGACGTAGAGTCGCATACCTATTTGGGCAGTAATGTAAATTTTTTTTTAGGTATCCAAAAACCATGAGTTCTTTAACCCTTAGGCTCGGTATTATGGATATCGCAACCCTTCGGCCTGGATTCCATGATAAATACCGTAAATCTGGGAGAAATGTGGCTTTTCTGCCTACCCCCGGGCGTGAACACGGACCGCAAGGAGTTTGTCACCCGGTCGTGGCGAATTCAGGTTTAGCCAACTACGCTAGCGAGCCGGGCAGTAATGTAGATAAAGATGTGGGTAGTATGGACCAACTACGCTAGCGAGCTGGGCAGTAATGTAGATAAAGATGGAGGTAGTATGGACCAACTACGCTAGCGAGCTGGGCAGTAATGTAGATAAAGATGGGGGTAGTATGGACCAACTACGCTAGCGAGCCGGGCAGTAATGTAGATAAAGATGGGGGTAGTATGGACCAACTACGCTAGCGAGCTGGGCAGTAATGTAGATAAAGATGGAGGTAGTATGGACCAACTACGCTAGCGAGCTGGGCAGTAATGTAGATAAAGATGGGGGTAGTATGGACCAACTACGCTAGCGAGCTGGGCAGTAATGTAGATAAAGATGGAGGTAGTATGGACCAACTACGCTAGCGAGCTGGGCAGTAATGTAGATAAAGATGGGGGTAGTATGGACCAACTACGCTAGCGAGCCGGGCAGTAATGTAGATAAAGATGGGGGTAGTATGGACCAACTACGCTAGCGAGCTGGGCAGTAATGTAGATAAAGATGGAGGTAGTATGGACCAACTACGCTAGCGAGCTGGGCAGTAATGTAGATAAAGATGGGGGTAGTATGGACCAACTACGCTAGCGAGCCGGGCAGTAATGTAGATAAAGATGGGGGTAGTATGGACCAACTACGCTAGCGAGCTGGGCAGTAATGTAGATAAAGATGGGGGTAGTATGGACCAACTACGCTAGCGAGCTGGGCAGTAATGTAGATAAAAATTGAGGTAGTATGGACCAACTACGCTAGCGAGCTGGGCAGTAATGTAGATAAAGATGGAGGTAGTATGGACCAACTACGCTAGCGAGCTGGGCAGTAATGTAGATAAAGATGGAGGTAGTATGGACCAACTACGCTAGCGAGCTGGGCAGTAATGTAGATAAAGATGGGGGTAGTATGGACCAACTACGCTAGCGAGCCGGGCAGTAATGTAGATAAAGATGGGGGTAGTATGGGCCAACTACGCTAGCGAGCCGGGCAGTAATGTAGATAAAGATGGGGGTAGTATGGACCGCAGAAAACCATAAATGTCAGCCTAATTGTGTAACATGCTAGGATAGATCGTTGGCCTCTTCCTTGATTGCAGTGTGTGGCAGGAAACACCCTAAGCATGAGAATCAAACCGGTACAAATCCTAGAAAACCCGTTCACCCGCATACAACAGTAGTCTTATGGGACCTGGCGGTTATGTAACCTGGTGTCCAGATCAAGGCTGTGAATTCGGATAATAAATCACGCAGTAGCTCTATGGTTCCCGCCAATCTAGTCTGCCGTAGTACACGTTCATTTTGTTTCTGCGTTCTATCAGCTGCCATGTGGGCAACGAAACGAATTCCTGAGCTACTTTGGTCCGCGTGTGTAAAACAGTCGAGGAAAACTGGACTAGGGTATGCATCTAGCTTCCTTTCGTGACCTTAACACCAAACAAACTTGTGGCCCTCATAGTACGAATTCCTGAGCTACTTTGGTCCGTGTGTGTAAAACAGTCGAGGAAAACTGGACTAGGGTATGCTAGCTTCCTTTCGTGGCCTTAACACCAAACAAACTTGTGGCCCTCATAGTACGAGGCTAAAGGCCCCCCCCCCCACCCACACACTTTCTATACTGATGTCATGTAAACAGCAGGTGACAACTGGGCACTTGACCACTGTCCAGAAACCACGTGTCACTCTAGTCTCCTCCCTAAAGCTTTGAAGTTTCTTTACCAGTTGCATATTCTGCTGGTTTATGTGCACGGAGAAGGCAACTATTCGTGGTGCCATTAGGTGATTTAAATTGATCGCGTGTGCAACTGCTGATCTGTTGGTGACTTCTGCTACCATCCATGATGAACTGCATTTCTAATGTCGGACTGTTTGTGTTAGCACTTCGGATGGCTACCGTATGCTTTTAACGCGTGTGTATTGCTAGTGCATATGCTGAGACAGCAGTCTGTCAATCTTTCCGGAAGGGACTGTGATAAACACTATGTGTGTTTTTAGTTGGCACAGGAGCGGAGCAATTATGGGGTGACCCGTTTGCTTTGAAGCTGAAACTAAGATTACCAGTTTACTGATTGTACATACGTCGATCACTTCCTCTTCATGTCCACCCTTGCCAAATTGAATTCTAATTCCACACATTGTTACACATATCATTTCATCTAACCTCTTGTCTTCTACCAGCATTCGTTGATACGTGGTCTTCTAGATGTCTCCTTTGTCCCGTACAAGTATTGCTAACGGAGGCCCGATAGAAACTAGTATCTTTCCCAGTCTCACGCTGTCAGATGCAAGATGTTTTGGTTACTGCCGCCCGAGTTTTAGTCCTGACTTCATGAAGGTTCACCAGAAACAACCTGACACGAGCGGAAATTTCTACAGCTGTAGACACAACCACAGACACTAGCGCCTCGCCAAAGAAAAGGAAGTTCTACCTGTGGTGCCTCTAGCGAGGCACTTGTGTCTGTGGTTGTGTCTACAGCGGTCAAGAACATAAGACTGACATACCACAGCCGCACAACAACAACAAAAACCACTCAGACATGAAACACAAGATACGCGACATTTTGTCAAGTGGGGGAGAGAGAGGGGTGGGTGCTAAACTAATCGACAAATAAACAGACACATCTAACAGATTATCGACAGAGAAATATTAGAGCAATCATTCAAGGTTGCAGACGATGGAGGGGGAGGGGGGGGGGGATGAAAACAGTCAGAGTGGAGAATCAACAACACAAAATATAAACAGTGGAACAACTTATTTAAACACACTGATAAACAACGGACAGACAGGTAAAGGGACACAATTACACTTACTTTTCTTTTGTTGGCTGTGGGTGTCTTCTCTTGTGCTACAGTACCAAAAATTGTCGGCTGCAAAAAAAAAAAAAAAATACAAAATTAAAAGCTAAATTAATAATAATACTGATGACAATCATGTTTATAATGATGATTCTGTTTTACAGCAGAAATTCTGCAAGGAAGCTGAAAGAAGAAGAAGATTAAGAAGAAGAAATAAATACGTTTTCGTGTTAGATACAGTTCATGTTAAACACAAACTTACTGAACTATGTCAGAAACACCAAAGATTATAATATGATGGATTCCGTTTGATGACAGTCTATCTGGGATCCAGTTTGATGACAGTCTATCTGTGATCCCGTTTGATGACAGTCTATCTGGGATCCCATTTGATGACAGTCTATCTGGGATCCCGTTTGATGACAGTCTATCTGGGATCCCATTTGATGACAGTCTATCTGGGATCCCGTTTGATGACAGTCTATCTGGGATCCCGTTTGATGACAGTCTATCTGGGAATGAAAAGGCCGGCACTAGCAGTGAAGGTAGAGAACTACCTGGCCATGATACAGACCTAACGTCTGGAGGCTAAATGTAGGAGACATTCAAGAATGCAACTACTGTGTAGGCCAAACATTCGTTAATTACACACCTCGTCTGTTCTGTCCACGTCCAGCCTTGTCGGACGTTGGTTTCACACGTCGTCTGTTCTGTCCACGTCCAGCCTTGTCGGACGTTGATTTCACACGTCGTCTGTTCTGTCCACGTCCAGCCTTGTCGGACGTTGATTTCACACGTCGTCCGTTCTGTCCACGTCCAGCCTTGTCGGACGTTGATTTCACACGTCGTCCGTTCTGTCCACGTCCAGCCTTGTCGGACGTATCCCTACATTTCTACACATGTTATTGTATCTAGCCTCGTGTCTTCCAACAGCATTCATTCAGACATTGACAGATGCAAACCGTTGTCTGGTTTTTGCCGCCCGAGTTTCTATCCAGACACTGGACGTCCCAGACATCCTGGACACTGGTACACTCTGACGTCACAGACATCCTGGACACCGGTATACACGACATCCCAGACATCCTGGACACCGGTACACGAGACGTCCCAGACAACCTGGACACCGGTACACGAGACGTCCCAGACATCCTGGACACCGGTACACGAGACGTCCCAGACATCCTGGACACCGGTACACGAGACGTCCCAGACATCCTGGACACCGGTACACTCTGACGTCACAGACATCATGGACACCGGTACACTCTGACATCACAGTCATCCTGGACACTGGTACACTCTGACGTCCCAGACATCCTGGACACCGGTACACTCTGACGTCCCAGACATCCTGGACACCGGTACACTCTGACGTCCCAGACATCCTGGACACCGGTACACTCTGACGTCACATACATCCTGGACACCGGTACACTCTGACGTCACAAACATCCTGGACACTGGCCTACTTCACCATGGGAGGTTCTGCGAAGGACCTGCTACTTTGTGAAAGTGGCTGCATCTGTTATAGAATTTGCCGCTCCGTGCTCCACGCCACCGCAGGTTAGAACCTGTGACTAACCCAGATGTCTAGGGCCCAGAGTTTGACCCCTATTTAAGGGCCAGTCAATGTAAACTGTGTGAGGATCGGCCCCTTATCTCACAGCGCCAGGCCACCTCCTTAGTTCCCAGTCTATCAGCGTTATCTTTAGTTTCCAGGGCAACAGGAAAACGAGCCGCCTGGTACAGGGCAGATAAGTCTAGTGTGGCGTTCAGGTCGCCAAGATACCAATCCGGGGCTAGTTACCGTCTGGTTGCCGGGGAGACGGACTCAACCAAGGACGTCTTAAATTACCAGAATATACCAGAAAATGGGACATCTCAAGCAAGTCATTCTCACCCCCCCCCCCCCCCCCCAGCCCCCGACCCCCTCACAAAAAATATAGAATTTTTAATAATACTTTCTCATTAAGGAATTAATACATTTATATGATTTAGCGAACCAAAAAACTGTATAAGCCATACTAATCAATTAATATTGAAATGTTCATATTTAGATTTATTGATTGATTTCACTGGTTCCGCTTGTGTAGTGTAGATCTATCTAGTAAATTAAATCTATCTGTTTTCCATCGTCGTTTGCATTTGTGTATACCTATATGTCGGCGTCTGTGAGTTATGCGTTTTGAACGCTTTTCGTAATGCTGTGGTGTCGGGTTCGATTCCAGCTGCGGACGGTTTGTCTTGTGTTAGTTTCGAAAGTGGTACCGTTTAAAAACAGTGGCAAACTATTTAACGTAAAATCTGCCTAGAAAACCCACAACAGGCAAAAAATGCTTGGGTTGGCTCTGCAACGTCCTGTAACGGATACGTTTTCAAAAGGAGTAGAAAATTTTAGGTAAGAAAATAAGTTGGTAAGAAACAACAAACAGTTTATGTTAGCTTTACAAAATCGATCACAATAAACGAACAACGGACGTTGCGGCGATTAGCCTTCATCAGCACATAAAGAACAATACAGTACACATACACAAATATGCTCTAACTATGAAGTGACTACATGGGACTAATGTACACAATAAATGATACTCATCTGTGTTCCACGCAACTTACATATTTTGTATACCTATACACTTGTTTTCTTCTGGAGCTAATATTTTTTTTTAATTACGTGGGAGGGGGCGGGCTGGGGAGAGTACTCAAGGGAATGAGGCGACCCGAAAACATCGAAAAAAGGACTGACTGGTCAGTGCATTTCTAAGACATCAACTGCTTACTGAAAGTTATCTGTGTTCCTATCGTTTGCCCGGGGGTGGTGACGTCACGCCAAGCTGACGTCATCAGCCACAAGGCCTAATAATTTAAGACGGCCTTGACCTAATCAAAGCCGTCATTAGTTACAGGGGGCCTTGACCCAGCACAGACGTCGGTTTTCTCTTTCTTCCTTGATCCTTCTGTCAGAAAACATATCTGCAGACTGGTGACAGATAGGGAACAATTATTGCCATTGATTCACTCATCTATTTAACCGTGTGGGTTCTGCAGCACTATGGAGTTCGAAAAAGGTGTGGGGTGTGTAGATCCACAGCCTGACAGGCGGGATACCAACAGTCCTGCATACAAATACGCCATATCTGTAAAGAGGACCTACACGGGGAAACTCACGCTCTCAAACAAAACAAAACAACTCAAAGTTCAGAAGTGGACAAAAACCCAGAAATTTCCGCTGACGTTTACAGCCAGTGAACACTAACACACAGAGGGCTCTATTTTTGGCTCCCAGATTTCACACAACATCCAACATTTGGGTTAACAATTGCTTGTAGAACTGACATAGCATCAGTCAGAAAGACCACTCTGCTATATTTGCTGTGCTGTTGTCCATTCAGGAAAGAACATGCCGCTAGAAGTGCTTCTGCCTCTGCTCTGTAACTGGAGGAATATGAACCTGATGGTACAGCCAAGTTGATTTTTAAACCATTTTGGCATTCTATGTATATTCCTCCTCCTCCGTCTCTTACTGCTCTCTTGGCTGAACCATCTGTATACACTCGAATCCAACTCTGGTGTGGAAAAAGTCTATTGATCTCTCCTTCTGTAGTTGATTTCATATCAGTGCTGCTCATTGATGATTTGGAGGAGATACCTGTTACAGTGGTTCTGACTGTTTGGTAGGCTATTCCTAAGCCAGGAAAGGGGGGGGGGGGTGAGGGGTAGTGGTTGTAAGGTTTCAGTGGAACATTTTGTTCTATGGGAGGAAGTTTGAAGAAAGCGAGCTTGGCATTTGCGTTTTTAATAAAACAGGTTCTCTTAAGTCTAGCCTTCTGGGGTTTCTGCAGTCGACTGTGTATGGGTTGTTCTCTAAAGTGGTGGTATTTGGAGAGCTGGATGAGAAGCTTTGCGTTTCTCCTATCTTCCAAATCATGGAGACCATTAATTGTGTCCATGTCTGATATGGGCGTGGAACGCATTGCCCCTGTCATAATAGTTTTGACCCCATTTACAGGCATGTACCAACTATTGGACCCATTCTTTAGAGTTCTGAGGGATTCTTGAAGCCTTGTCTAGCTTTGGCAGTATCTTCCTCTGAACACAGTAGCTCTAGATCACCGGCATACATGACAGCTTGAAATCCATTACAGAGGGCTGATAGCACTACGAATTACACCACAACTATAACTATTTGATTTGTTATTACTTGCTAGTACCAGCGCTACTGCGGTTTCTACTAGAACTACTGCTGCTGACCGCCCCACCACCACTAATACTGCTACAACTGCCTGGTCCGGTCTTCATGTTACTTTTTAATTCCCTAAAGCACAAATATTAACTGCAAGGATGAACGCAGCTTACAGGAAGGGATATTTACAAGTACAATTCTCACTTTATTGTATAGGTGTTAATCTTGTGAACCACAATCCAAGAGGACACAGACTGCAATAGAACTGCTACAGCCGCCACCACAAAAGCTAATAATGCTACTACTAAAAATCACAGTTAGGTTCAGAGAGTCCTCACTGGGCTACACGTCTCATTGAGCGCCCATCTTGGGACTCGGTCCATCAGTGTCAGCCCCTGTCAGTCGCTGTTGACGGATGGGTCTCCTGGTTTACGGATGGATCTCCTGGTTCACGGATGGGTCTCCTGGTTCACGGTAGCTACAACAGCGTCCTCCTTCACAACTAAATATCTCTGGTGTTGGTACTCGCCAACCGTCCAGTTTCCAGATGAAGAACAACAAACAGCGGTCAAGAAGGGGGCGAGGGAAGAGGGGGGGGGGGGGGATTCCTATTTACGATTTCTGGTGTTCCCATGACTAACAGAAAAAAAAAAAGTTATTAACTTACATTTTTATTAACTTATGCAGGTATGGGTTCTTTTAAACGTTTTCACCAAATCTCGTCGGCTGTGAGATTTCGTACGGAATTCCAAGGGGATTCTATAGGGAGACGGTCTTGTCCGGAAAGTTCCACACTATAGTAAAGGGGTGTTAGGGTTATACTAAGTGTTGGTCAATCTTTGAACATTTACACTACAACACCCAAACTGCTCTGCTCTAGGCGTGTAAT